GCCGCCTTTAGCTTAGCGCTGGTGATGTGAAGTCATGTGACCGTGCTGTAGTTCCTTTATAGCCCAACATTAGCCACCTTTAGCTTAGCGCTGGTGATGTGAAGTCATGTGACCGTGCTGTAGTTCCTTTATAGCCCAACATTAGCCTCCTTTAGCTTAGCGCTGGTGATGTGAAGTCATGTGACCGTGCTGTAGTTCCTTTATAGCCCAACATTAGCCACCTTTAGCTTAGCGGTGGTGAGGTGAAGTCATGTGACCGTGCTGTAGTTCCTTTATAGCCCAACATTAGCCGCCTTTAGCTTAGCTGTGGTGAGGTGAAGTCATGTGACCGTGCTGCAGTTCCTTTATAGCTAACGTAAGCTATTTACTTCAGAAATCATAAAGTGGTGTTAATATGTGGAGATTATCCTGCTGAACAAAACATGTAAGTATCATAAACCATAAACGTTTGAGATCATTTTTGCAATAATCCAACAGGAAAATCCCATTGGGTTTTTCTCTATTGAGCCCTTGCAATGCTAACTTCAGATTGGGTCTACTCAAATAAATCATCACTGCACCACTCTATAATTATATTTTAATACAGTCTATCTGCTATTAAACCCAGTAGAAAACCTTTTGAATAACCTAAGAAACCACGTTATCTATCTGTACTAATACATGTAATTTCCAGTTGTCGTAATGTGTGAGACTGCATGCCTGCAGAGAGAAAACCTTATGGAAACATAATCTGATGCTAGAACGCAAACTGTTGCATGCATTCAATTTAGATTAACCTTCATTAACAGTTTAACTTCTCTCCCTCCACAGGCTGTTGTCTGTTCCCACATTAAAAGCTCCATTTCCTGTGTGCTAACAGTTTCTGCTGCACTTCAGGCCTCGCTGCCTTCTGTCTGCTCTCCACAGAGGTCACACATGCTGTCATTAGAGATGCAGTGTGTGTGTGTGTGTGTGTGTGTGTGTGTGTGTGTGTGTGTGTGTGTGTGTGTGTGTGTGTGTGTGTGTGTGTGTGTGTGTGTGTGTGTGTGTGTGTGTGTGTGTGTGTGTGTGTGTGTGTGTGTGTGTGTGTGTGTGTGTACATTACGTGTGCAGCGCTATCGTGGCACATGATTGTCATTACAGAGGAAGTGAGCCGAGACACAAAGCTTCAGACAGATTCACCTGAGGCAGGTTTTAGTGACACGTTGTTGCTCATATTTGACCTCCAAGTAACAGAAACAGATAAAAGGAAAACAAATAATCAGATATCAGTAAATTACATTCAAAATAAATATTTTGCAATGTTGATTGTGGATGGAAATGCATTATTTTCAAGTCTTATTTGCACATTAGTCGTGTATATTCTTTTTTTTATGACACAGTGTTGGATTTATAAGTCATTACGAGATTGATATTTAATATTATGATTTCCAGAGGATGACTAAAAGGTATTATTGTGACCTGAGCATTCCTCTAGTGCCACCATCAGGCCAAATACCTCCACATGCTCTCCAGAGGATGAACCACTTCCAACCACAAAAGTGTACTTTATTTATTCAGCTATTTGCAAGGCTGAGAAAATTATTTGTTTTCAGAGAAACACCTTCTTCGATTTGGTGATTTTACTGGATTATTATGTAGAACAATCCATAGAATAAGCTTTACAAATGGTCTCTATTCTGCTTTTCATGTAGTGTGTTATAGGTTTGTGTGCATGTAAACGGTCTGCAAAGGCTAAAATCCCAAAGTCTGGAACCCTTGCGCTCCTATTGGCTAGCGCTCCAACACATTGTACGTGATAGACTAAGGGGCGGGACATCTCTGAGCGTTTGACCAATCACAACAGAGCCAGCAAAGATAACCAATCAGAGCAGACTGGGCTCTGGTTTCAGACAGAGGGTGAAAAGAGGTGCAAAAACAAAACAAAAAAACTTTGATTGCCACAAACAGCAACAGCATGCTTCGTTAATATTAGAAAGTGAGTCTCACAATTTCTATTTTATCTGCTGTCTGTGATTTCGTCCCCAAAAAGCAAAAAAAAAAAGGTGTCCAACAAATAAGTTTTACATAAAAAGTGTCTCGATATCGCCGCTACACTTTCTCATTTCCTCTGTGTTCTCATAAGGAGGATCAGATCATGACTTCAGTGCGCTGGAAACTAATGAGGCCGCTCTCCACTTGTGCACCAAACACTTTACCAGACACTCTCTCTGCTTATTTATCTATGTATTTATGTTAGATTGTGGCATGGAGGGAAAACAGGACATGAGGGAAGAAGGAAAGTCTCATTGTGAAGGGTTTGGTGGTTTTTGGTGAAACTCTGATCTTATTTTGGGGCAAAAGAAATGGCTGGTGAACAGTGAAGAGCCTTTGTGTTGCAGAATGACGCTCCATCACTGATCTGTAAAACACTAAGTGCATTTTACTACGCTACTTTAATTTGAAAAGCCTAAATTACTTAACGGATTAATATTGTGCATGTAATAAACTTTTACCATAATGCTTCTCTAAAGATTAAACCAGTGGGATTACTGCTTGAGGTACAAATTATCCAATATATTACCAAAACATTTATAAATATTTTATCAAAACGTATTGTTTACAGTAAAATGCTCCCTGATGCAACAATAATAACAATAATAACATCGATATATTAATATATCACATATGGACGCGTACTGTACTGTAAGTAAGTAAGAAATTGAGGTACTTGCACATTACTGGAGTATTTTAACCTTATGCTACTTCATCCACTACATTTGATTTACAGATTTAGTTACTAGCTACTTTGCAGATTGAGATTATAAATACGAAATATAAATCATATATTATTATAGTTTAAGCTTCCCAGTAGAAGATAATAAGTTAATAAGTAATTCAATCAACCCCCATTTCAACAGGTGCAATATTGAAGTCATGAACACATACATTTTAACGCAATATTTGAAATGTTGTGGTGCTTAAATGGGCCATTCTGCACAAAGAGTACCTTTAACTTTGGTACCTAAAGTATATTTAATGCTGAAACTTTTGTTCTCTTTCTTAAGTACATCTTGACTGCAGGAATATTACTTGTAGAGGAGTAATTTGACATTAATTGTATGGTACTTCTCCTTAAAGGTAGGGTAGGTAAGAATGGAGAAACCAGCTCGAGTGTGCTAGAATTTGAAAATATGCAGCCGGAAAAAATCTGCCACTTCCTTCAGACTTCCTCACAGAGCCCCTCCTCCAACACACACGAACGCGCACATGACCAATGAGGGCACGAGATAAGTTTGTGCACAGATGGAAGGCTGACAGGCAGGTAGGCCATCCAGTGATTTTAGCCGGGCCGGCTCAGATGATTGGTCGAGCTTTTTACAGTACCACGGCTTCCACAGATGAAGTTTTTTTATGTATTTATTGTCAAAGCACTTCAGATATTCATTGCTATCAGGATGTGAAGAGCATTCCATGGAATATAACAAAAAGTGTTTCTGAAGTGAATTACCTACTCCACCTTTAACTAATACTTTTTCTCTAGTGGCACTATCCCAGAGTCAGGATCTGTGCAGCACCTCTCAGATGTTTGTGTGCATGGCGCCATCTGCTGGCTGCATGGTGAACTACAGGAGGAAACTCTTAATCTGCAGTTTTAATATAAAGTAATATATCATAATGTTTTTAAAGTGGCTTCCAAGAGAACTACTTTCTTCCTTGTACTTTGGAAAACACCAGAAGAAATGAAAATAAGCTTATTCCTAGTTATAAGAGTAGCAATGATTCAATAAGTGACAACAAATTGGTAAACATATAACTTAAATTACACTAAAAATATCAGAAACATTGGAAATAAAATGATGTGCCGGATTTTTGAAAAGGTACATTTTGATAATGGTGACACTTTATTTGATTTATTGAAATATGAATAAATAGACAATTCCTTCTCTTTCATTATATAATATTCCAACTCGTCTCTTGTTGACAAAGCAACACAGCTGTGTTATAAAAATTACAACAGTTATCATACAGATGTTATTACATACAGTGACACAATACCATTAAAATGATGTTGATTATCATTCTCCTTACAGGCTTATGATTTACAATATAGTGAAAACTTATAAAAAGCATGAATAATTGATGTTAATATCTTTGTAATGTCACATGCAATCAATACATGTAGTGCAAAGAACATAGGCATTTGTTACCTTAATAATATAAAATCCATGTAAATACTTATTTTCTATATTCATATAGGTGTTTTACATTGTATTATTACAACTTTAAGCATTTACAAATATACTGCAGCTGTTTCTTTGTCTATATTTTAATTTAAACTGTCTCATGAATGTTGGATATCTCCTGGTTTGACAGCTTTTAAAGGCACACATTTTTGAGGCGCTATTTTATATTTGTTTTGATTTGGGTAAATATATCCCAAAACGTTTTCCTCCAAGACACGACCAGAGCAAACATATTTACAGATTGCAATAGGCTTGCATTTTCTTTTCTCTGTTAAATGACATGTATAAATATGTTGGTGCATTTCATGCTTGGGCAACTTGTTAATATACCTCTATAGTCCCAACTACAGGAGCCTTTTCCTGTCCCATCACCATGAGGCTGCCTCTCTGAATCCACAGAGCTCTACAGGCCATGGAGCTGAAACTCTGGCCTTTTGAATTCAACGCTCTCCTCTCTGTGTGTGTGTGTGTGTGTGTGTGTGTGTGTGTGTGTGTGTGTGTGTGTGTGTGTGTGGTGTGTGTGTGTGTGTGTGTGTGTGTGTGTGTGTGTGTGTGTGTGTGTGTGTGTGTGTGTGTGTGTGTGTGTGTGTGTGTGTGTGTGTGTGTGTGTGTGTGTGTGAGCCTCAGGCAGAGGTCGGAAGTAATAAACTTCGTTACTGTATTTAAATTCATTTTTCTGGTATCAGTACTTTACTCCACTACTTAAAAGAAGTTTAGTCAGTACTTCTACTTGTACCAGAGTATTTTTAAGCACGAGTATCTGTACTTCTACTTGAGGAAAGGATGTGTGTACTCTCAGGCCACCTGCCACACGGACCACAGGGTTCCCAGAGTGATGCTGTAGGCCACCACGGCCACCAGGTAGACCCTGAAGAGCAGCACGTCCAGCACGTAGCCCACCTGCAGCCACTCTTTGGCCACCTCCCTGCACCGGTCCCTCTTCTCCAGGAAGTGGCGTATGGCCGTCACCTCCTGCAGGATGTTGTCCATGACGGGCGGGGTGGGGTCTCTGGGGAGGGGGCGGCCGAGGCCCAGCAGCACCCCCTCCAGAGACCCCCCCCCCTCTCTGTCCAGGTGGCTGCGCCTGCGGCCCAGCTCACAGGTGTGGTGCAGAGGACACTGAGCTGCAGGAGAGGGGCAGGGAGAGGGTGTGTTTCACTTTCACTTATTCATTAAAGTCAACTTTAAAACTGAATATGTTAAGAATACTGAGTGAATAAGATGTTTTTATATTTTATTTTAATTTTATAATGTTTACCTTTTACATTTTTGGCATGCCTTACATTTTTATAATTTTAATTTGTTTTGACTTTTTGACTTATTTACTTTTTAATTTGACTTTTTTAAACGTTTTAATTTACACAGTCAGAATATTTTTGAATTTCTTTCCCTGGGTATTTCTAAAATGTATTCAACTTTTGCTTAGGTAAACATTCAGAGAGTGCTTTTCCTTACCGGTCCCGTAGCTGCTCTCCTTGTAGAGCTCCAGGTCGGGGGGCTGTGAGGTCAGATTGGAGCAGAGGCGGGGCTTCCTGTGGATGCAGAACAGCACGGGGGCCAGCTCCAAGATCAGGTACTTCAGCCAGGGCGGGACGGGGGGCTGCAGGTCTTGTTTGTGGACCAGACGCACGATCAATACGGTCTCTGTCAGGCTGATCACCAGCAGGGCCATGCACACCACAAAGTACACACCTGGGGAGAGGAGAGGAGAGGAGGATGCTCTTACAGATATTATTATTAAAGCAGGTAGTTTCATATTATTTAAAAACAATCTCAACCTTTAATTTGGCTTCTTTAGAATAAAAGAAATTATAATAATATTAATAATTAGAAGGAAAACAATTATTAAGAAAAAAGACATGAAGATAAAATACAAATAAATAAATAACTACAAAAAAGTAAATACAAAATTAATTAAATATAAAATAAAATAAAAAATCAACATTTTAAATCAAAATCACATTTTAAATTAAATTAAGTTTAAAATGAAATGTATAAAAGTTGTACAATATTTACAAAAATACAATAAAAGGTGTACATTGTATTGAAATATAAAACAATGTGCAATATGTGAAAATGGCTATATAAGACTCTTAACCTCTTAAGCCCTGAGCCTGTTTTTCAGGTCTCAGGCTCGAAAATGACATTTCCAGAACAAATGACCATATCTTCCCTTCTAAAAGGGTTAAATTAATAATCTTTATTCTCAAAGTAATGATAAACCTGTGAGTTGGATGTAGAAAAGTCAGAATCAATATAGATGTTTTTTATTTTAAAGAAAATTCAGATTTTACATAGTAAAAAACTGTAAATGATAGTGTCCGTCCAAAAATTATTTTTTACTTATAGTGAAAACTACCCTTGGATGATGGGTTAGTAGACTAAAAGCTTTAGGAATCCAAAGTACAACATATAATAAGTACCCTGTATCAAGATTGATGCAAAACAAGTGAAATTTGACCTTTTTAGAGAGATTTAGCCAAAAACCCCACTTCTGGGGTCATTTGGGTGGATTTGACCTATCTCTGGCCCCCCTTGCTCGATTTTGATGAATGAAATCTCTTTATAACCGCTAGAGCCAATGGAATCGAGGGAAAGTTCTATACACACCAAAACGTTAACAAATAAGGAGTGAGAGTGACGCGTTACCAAAACCGGAAGCTGCATACACTCTGGTGGCTACCATTAGCAGCTAACTTTTCCGCTCCGATTTTTACATAAAAAATGGAATTATGGATTATAAATAATTTTTTAAAAGGTACAGGTACATTATCAACCTATGGATCAACAGTTGTAGAAATTTTTTTTTTCGTTTTAATGCCATTGAACACGTCTTTTGACCTAATTGACAGCTACGGTGAGACGATCTGCCGTAAAAGCTCCGTAAAGGTATGTGTTTGCTTCCCCTGTCGCAAGTTCGGATCGCTCAGTGATGATACTATACCTAAATAATCAGTGGAGTCTCAGCTTTAATAGGCTATATTGTATGTGCAGCTACGATAAGTAATAAGGGTATCTTTATCTTGAATTGTGTGCCGCAGTGCGTTCGAATTTTTTCGCTCAGGGGTCATTTAGACCCTTCTTATGAGACTTGTTTTGTTTTGGTAAAAATGGTTCATATCTTCAGTTAGCTGAGATTCTTCCCGTTAATCTGGTGCTACACATTAATAGTTTCATAAATGTTAAGAAGCCCTGAGACATTATCTCGAAAACAAAAAGGTGGGAGGGGTCCAATGGGGGGACCGCCGTGATTAAGAGGTTCATATATATATATAACTCATTCTTATTTATGTATTTTAAATCACAAAATGCACCTTCAGTTGGACTATTGCTTTTGATTGGTCATAATTTGTGGCCGTCAGTAAAATAAAGCAAAGTATTTTTGAAATCACAAGTTATGATTGTTATGAGTGTTATGAATGATAACTGTTGATAAGCTGAAATCCTGTTCTGAATGTAGTGTTCATGGATCCCATCATCACCTATGAGCGGGGTTCCTATGGCGGTGGCAGGTAGGGTGTCAGACACGATGATGAGGAACACAGAGTACCCCAGCAGCAGAGTGATCTTAAAGGAAACCCTCTCCCCGCTGTCTGGAGGCAGGTAGAAACCCACGATGTCCATGACCATCAGGAACATACTGGGCAGCAGCAGGTTCACCGTGTAGAACAATGGCCGCCGCCGGATCACCACCTAGGGAAGAAGGGTTAGAGTTATTTCAAAATGTCTGCTGGGGAAAAAAAGGCCGGACATGGTTAACTTAGCTTAGCATAAACTGGAAACATGTCAGCATGTCTTAACACTGTAAATCATTTTTAATGTTGTGTTTATTGATGTAATTAATGCACAAAACACTACAATATGTACTTACTCCTGCTACATACTAAACACAATCAATATTCTCATCCCCCTCTCAAAAAAAAAGCTATGTTTCCCCAAAAATATACAACTGTTTTGTTCTCAATACTTCCTTTTTTTATTGTTTGCAGGCATTTCATTTATTTAACAGAGGCAGTAACAGATGTGAAACTGGGATCTTGCACTTCATGGTCACCGCTTTACACCTTTCAGGGAACAGGTATATTTAAGACGTTTTCTCAATATATTTGTAACCCTGGTTCAAAAGTGGAGATTCAAGTAGTTACATTTTGAAGTAAGTAATGTAAGAAAATATTTATTTGAAATATAAAGTATTTTTTTTAATATTATTGCGGCAGTAATCTTTCAAACAAAGTGCCGCGAGGGACTAAACAAGAGAAAAACACTGTGGACGCGCAAAAACTCAGTCTTTCCAACAGTATGCGTTTTACCTTTTATTTTCAAAGCAAAAGTTCAATAGTCCATATCCATATGTATGTAACAAAAATTGTCCTTCTCCAGCTCACTCCCCATCCATCTATCACAAAGTGCGCAGGTAAAAGCAACCGGATATAACCGCAAACGTCACCACACCAATCCTTTGACACGCCCACCACCTATAGTGACTCAAAAACATGTACCGTAATAAACACAGAAACTACTACTTCAAATGTGGCTCCTACATTCCGGCCCCTAATTATATCAACATAATAATTACACAACTGAAAAATGATGTAGGAGACAATCAAGGAAAAAACTTTTAAGGATAAAACCGTCCTTTGTTAAAGTGTCCTTTTCTTCTTTAGGCAAAAAAAAAAAATAGAAAAATAAAAAATAAAATAAAAATATATAGTTTGTTAGCCCAAGAAGGAGTGATCTTTACTATCACTTGGTAAAAAGTCGGAAAAAACGTCAATGTCAAGTCTATGAAGTTCAATAACCCACTAATCTCCTCACGGCTCTTCTGCTTCCTGTAGAAGGCAGATCTTTGTGATAGGCCTGTCCAGATAGCTAGTTTTTGTCTTCACTCGCACCTGACGTACAAGTCCTCTTCTGTCTGGAATGGTTTGTACAATCCTTCCTGTAAGCCATGAGTTGCGAGGTGCTGAGTCATCGACTATGAGCACAATATCTCCTGGTATGAAGTTGCGCTTGACATTTGACCACTTCTGTCGTTCCTGGAGTAGAGGCAAGTACTCCTTAATCCATTGTTTCCAAAACAAGTCTGAGATGTACTGAACTTGTTTCCATCTTCGACGAGCATATATGTCCTCTTTATGAAACAGTCCAGGTGGAAAAGATGGCTTGGTTTTTAGCAGCAAAAGATGGTTAGGGGTTAGTGCTTCCAAGTCATTGGGATCTGTGGATGCTCTTGTTATGGGACGGCTGTTGATGATGGATTCGGCTTCACAAAGAACCGTGTGAAGACACTCTTCATCAAGGTTCTGTGCCTTCAGGCTGGAATTCAGAACCTTCCTCACAGATCTGATCAACCTTTCCCATACTCCTCCATGATGGGATCCAGTAGGGGGATTGAAAGTCCACTTTATTCCTTTCTGAAGGAGGGTGTTGTTGATTTTAGCAATATTCAACCTTTCTATTGCCTCTCTCAATTCACGCTCAGCTCCGACGAAGTTGGTTCCATTATCTGAGCGTAATTCCAATACTTGTCCACGTCTTGCGATGAAGCGTCGAAGAGCATTAACAAAGGAATCTGTATCCAAGGATGAAGCTACTTCGATGTGGATGGCTCTTACTGTTAAGCATGTGAAGAGAACACCATACTTTTTAACTGTACTCCTTCCTCGCTTGACCTCAAAAGGTCCAAAATAGTCAACTCCCACACGAGTGAATGGAGGTTCATCTGGAGAAGTGATCATTATATGATAAAGTGATCATTATATGATATTCTGTACCCGCAAAAAGCTAAAACAAAAGGCCGGCTGTCACAAAACAGTCATATCTAGAGACCTCAAAAACTACTCTAGCGAGGCCTTTAACCTAGAACTGGAGAGCCTGGACTGGTCAGATGAGCTCAGTGGTACACAAGTTGAAGAAACATGGCTTGGTTTCAAAAACAAATTCTCTGCAATACTCAATGATTTGGCCCCCCTAAGAACAACCAGGGTAAAAAATCGCGCTGAGCCGTGGATGCACTCCGGCATACTGACCGCCATGAAAACCAGAGACAAAAAATGCTCTGAGTTTCATAAAAGTCAGTCAATGCTTTCCAAAAGCACGAGCAGTGAACTCCAGGCCCACGTGACTGAACTAAAAATTGAAAGAAACAGACTAAGAAATGACGTAAGCTCCATGATCAAAACTGCCAAAAAGAATTTCATCAATGACAAAACTGAGGAAAACAAAAATAAACCCCGTGAACTTTGGAAATTACTCAATAACCAGCTTGGCTGCAGTAAAAAACTCAAAACGAGATTTTCAAACGTAAACATAAAGACAGATAACAGGCTCATCACAGACAAACTGGATGTGGCCAAGTACTTGAACATTTTTTTCACAAACATAGCCACAACTCTTGTAAATAAATTACCCTCCCACTCAGGGCTTTTTGGAGTAGATCACATCATGACCTACTACAAAAACCTAGGGGTACGCAAAGATGATTTCAGTCTAGCAAGGGTAACAACAGCAGAGGTACTCATTAAACTGAGCGCCCTCAAACCTAACAAGGCCACTGGCCACGACAATATCCCCTCCAAATTCCTCAGAGACACAGCAACCGCCATCTCACCAGTCATAGCTCACATAATTAACCTCTCCATAAAACAGGGAAAAGTACCCAAAGACTTCAAAATTGCAAGAGTAACCCCCCTGCACAAAAAGGGCAGCAAATTGGACCCAGGCAACTACCGCCCTGTTTCTATACTTACCTCCATCTCGAAAGTCATGGAAAAAATAGTATATGAACAGGTCGAAAAGTACCTCGCAGAAAAGAAACTAATCTATGAATTTCAATCTGGCTTTAGAACATCCCACTCCACTGACACATGCCTTCTTTATTTGAACGACCACATCAAACAAGAGGTGGACGAGGGTAAATACTGCGGCATGGTGATGCTGGACCTACAAAAGGCTTTCGACACTGTCAATCACCCCATTCTGATTGACAAGCTAAAAGCAATTGGTTTTGATAAACTATCGGTGAGCTGGATGCAATCCTACCTGGAGGGGAGAGAACAGATGGTGGAGGTAAACGGTACTCTGTCCCCCCCCCTCCCAGTGAGCTGTGGTGTTCCACAAGGAAGCATATTAGGTCCGTTACTGTTCCTAATTTATGCAAATGACATGTCATCAGCATGTGACTGCAACTTGTTCCTGTTCGCGGACGACTCAGCCCTGCTGGTCTCTGACAGGAGCAGATTGCAGGTTGAAAAAACCCTCAGCTCCGAGCTCGGCAGAATCTGCACCTGGCTCGCCGATAATAAATTATCATTACACCTGGGTAAAACAGAGTCCATTCTCTTCGGTTCGAAACATAATCTCAGCAAATCCGACGACTTCTCAGTTGCAGTGGGTGACATTATTGTCACAAGTAAGAAGGAAATTACATACCTAGGATCTATTCTTGAGGCAAACCTCTCCTGTGACAAAATGGCATCCAATGTAATAAAAAAAGTCAATCAAAGAACTAGATTCCTATACCGGATCTCCTCTCTGGTAAACAAAAACACCCTGAAAACTCTGGCAGGAGCACTCATTCAAGGGTACTATGACTATGCTTGCACGTCATGGTACCATAGCACCTCCAAGGCGCTAAAAATAAAACTTCAAACATCGCAAAATAAACTGGTCAGACTACTGCTTGACCTTTCATCTAGAACCCACCTCACCTCTGCCCACTTTGACAACCTAGGATGGCTTAGAGTAGACGACAGAGTACAGCTACTTGCAATGGGCCTGGTCTACAAGATCCACTACACCTCTATGGTACCCATGTACATGTCAAAATTCTTCCCAAAGGTCAAGGAATACCATGATCATAACACCAGAGGGAGCTCCACAAATCATGTAAAACCCAGATTTGGCACAAAAAAAGGGGAATACACGTTTCGCAATTATGCCACATCAAGGTGGAACGCTCTTCCCACAACTGTAAAGGAAAGTAAAACTATACTTACCTTCAAAACCTCTCTTAAAGAGCACCTTCGGGGGAAAGCATTGCAAAACTGGCCCCGGTAATGGTACAAATCTCAACCTGTCGTACAATGGACAGCTTCCCCCCCCCCATCTATGTATATACTCGCATTTTAGACTCTTTACTAACTGTATATCTGTAGACTTGGTATGTCTTAAATGTCCGGTTAGGATGTATTAGAACGAAATCTAAAATGAAAATTGTAAATAAGCCATCTGTATGTAAAAAACCACCTGTATGTAAATTGTAAATAAGCCATCTGTATGTCAAATATGTCTTATATGTCTTAAATGATATGATGAATTGGAAATGGGGGACCCTGATGTAAACAAGACGAAAGTCTTTCTCTGGTCTGCATCCCCTTAACAATTGTATGTTTTGAGCTGTACTGTACTGTACCCAATATACAAGCTGTTAATAAACTTTTCAATCAATCAATCAATCAGAAACTCTGTCTCGAGGTAAATCTGCCATTTGCTGCATTCCTGGAGCTCCATTTAGTCGCCGACAAACAATACATTTTGACAGGGTTTTCCTTATAGCCACACTAGCACCAGGAATCCAGTATCTTTGTCGCAGGCTAGATAGCATGTGGTTACGACCACCGTGTCCCACATCTTGGTGTACTTGCCGTAGAATGATGTCAGAAATGTGAAGATCTTTTGCCAATATAGCAGGATGTTTAGATTCTTCAGGCATTGCTGCTCTACTGAGACGTCCTCCCACTCTCAGAACACCATCTTCAAGTACTGGGTTGAGCTTGTAGATGTGACTAGTCCTTTTCACACCTTCTCCCTTTTGCAAGCCTTTGATTTCCTCAGGAAACCTTTTTCTTTGGAAAAAGCAGATAATTTCTTTCTCAGCTTTTTGGAGGTCCTCAATAGAAAGAAAACCAGAGACCACCTGAGCCTTGATAGTCTGCATTTCCTTTTTCATCTCTCGGTCTTGTTGCTCCTTATTCAAGCCAGACTGAGGAAGAGTCAGACTCAATTGCTTCCTTTTTCGACTAAGGCACAGCAGCAGGTTTTTCAACCTAAGGATCCAACCAACCGTCTTCTTCAGGTGGATCCAAGAAGAGAAGTGATTGATCAATCGGGTTGCAGCATCCATCTCTTTTTCAACCTGCACAGCATTCACATTCAGACTTATCTTGACCTCAGGGTCTTCTGGTGCCATTTCAGAGCCATCAGGGTTCACAGGCCACTGTTCTTCAGGTCCAGTGAGAAACTGAGGTCCAGACACCCATGTGTCATCTTTCAGGAGCGTTTCCACTTTGACTCCCCTGGAAGCCCAGTCGGCAGGATTGCTTGCGGTGGGAACATATCTCCACTGAGATGGATTTGATACGCTGCGTATTTTTGAAACCCTGTTTGCGACGAAGGTTCGAAACCTTAAGGTCTCATTACTGATGTACTTCAATACGAAAGTACTATCAGTCCAAAAGATGGAGTCTTTAAGTTGCATTTGCAGCTCCTTCCTACACATCTTGTCCATACGACTTGCAACCACGGCAGCCGTCAATTCCATTCGAGGGATGGTTATTGGTTTCAATGGGGCCACTCTAGCTTTTCCCATAATGAAGACACAGTGCACTTGTCCTTTGATGTTATGTAATAACAGGTAAGTCACTGTTCCATAGCCGTCTTCACTTGCATCTGCGAAGTGGTGTAGCTGAGCAGAGGTCACTTCCCCAAAATCCACCGGTTTTAGGCATCTGTCAACTTTAAACTCTTCGAGATTGCAGAGCTCCTTCAGCCAACTTTTCCACTCTTGTGCAGCTGAGGCTGGTATAATATCATCCCAACCAAGTTCCCTTCTGCACAAGTCTTGAAGAATCATCTTGGCTGATAGGACCACAGGTGCCAATATTCCTAATGGGTCAAAGATTGAGCTGACCATGGAAAGGATCCCTCTTCTGGTTATGGGTTTGTCCTTGATCATGATCTTGAACTTAAAGACATCTGACTCAACACACCACTGTACGCCCAATGCTCTTTCCACAGGGAGTGTGTCATTATCCAAGTCCAGATCCTTAACTTCTTTCGCTCTCTCCATCGAAGGTATAGCAGCAAGCACGGTACGTCTGTTGCTAATCCACTTTGTGAGATGAAAACCCCCTTGAGCACAAAGTGCACAAAGGTCATGATAGAGTGCCACTGCCTCCTCCTCTGAGACCACAGATGTTAGACAATCATCAACATAGAAATTGTGCAGGACAGTGTTGATTACTTTGGGGCTGAACTGCTCCCGATGGTCCTCTGCACACTTTCTGAGGGCAAAACTAGCACAACTTGGCGACGATGTAGCTCCAAACAGATGTGCAACCATTCTGTGCTCTTCTAAGTTCTGATGATGATCTCCATTTGGCCACCAGAGAAACCTCAACAGATCTGAATCCTCAGCTGGTACTCGAACCTGATGAAACATGGCTTCAATGTCTGCCATGAGTACAACAGGTTCCTTTCTGAATCTTGTCATGACTCCAACCAGTGTGCTGGTAAGATCTGGTCCCTGTAGGAGCTGCGCATTCAGCGATGTTCCCTGGT